AGCTCCATTGCGGGGTTCCCAGCATCATCTAGAGGTTCCCAACATCATCTCAGTGTTCCCAGCTCCATCTCAGGGTTCCCAGCACCATCTCAGGCTCCCCAGGACCATCTAGAGGTTCCCAACATCATCTCAGTGTTCCCAGCTCCATCTAGGGGTTCCCAGCTCCATCTTGGGGTTCCCAGCTCTGTCTCGGTGTTCCCAGCTGCATCTCAGGGTTCCCAGCTTTGTCCTGGGGGCATTGCAAGGTCTTGGAAGAGGGAACAGGAGAATTCAAAGATTCAAGGACCAAATTTTCCCTGGAAAAACCCACGTGCAGCACTCCCACTGCCCCGAGATGCTCCAGGCCTTGTGTCCGCAGGGTGAGGACCCGCACACATCCCCAGCCCTCCTGAGGCTGCAGAGACTGTGCCAAGAGCCCAAAGTTGTGGATCACTGGGTTTATCCGGCGGGATTCCGGCTGTGCCGGGAGCCAGGGCCCGTGTGCACCGCTCGTCCCGGGCTGGCTGAGGAATGACAAGTGACAGGCGGCTCCCGACCCCAAATGTCAGCGCTCACACTTGAGTGGGCAGCGTGTCCCGTCCCCTCGTGGCCAGCTGTCCCCATGGAAACGGGCTGGATCCGGCCATTCCCGCCATGCCCCATCCCAGGATGGTGTCAATCCCGCTGCACGACAGCCTGTGGCAAAATCCAGGTGGTTTTGCCCCAGTCCTGGAGGTTTTCCAGCCTTTTCCTCGTTTTGGAGCACCTGGTTGTGGGTTGGGATGTCCTGGGGGAAAAGGATCCCGAGGACGGGGCAGTCCCAAGCCTTTTCCTCCGGGAACTTGTAATCCTGGAGGATTATTTGGCAGCCGTGTGGCGCTTCATCTTCCCAAAGCCCCGCACAAGTGCTAAGCATCATTATCACCGTGATAATTAATTATTATTAAGCAGATTCCAACCCTTCCCCGCTCCGCTGCAAACCTCGCTGCTTTCCCAGCCTCGGAGGAGCTGAACGAACCCACGCTCGTTCAGCTCGTTCAGCTCCAGAGCTCCTTCCCATACAAAATCCCAGAGTTTTACCCTTTGGATTGGGAGCAGTGGACTGGCTGGGATGTGTGGAAGGATCAACACCTCTGCTTCCACCCCAAAGGAACAGCATCCAAACATCCCAATCCCATCGGATCCGCTTCCACCCCGAAGGAATGGCATCCAAACATCCCAATCCCATCGGATCCGCTTCCACCCCGAAGGAATGGCATCCAAACATCCCAATCCCATCGGATCCACTTCCACCCCGAAGGAACGACATCCAAACATCCCAATCCCATCAGATCTGCTTCCACCCCAAAGGAACAGCATCCAAACATCCCAACCCCATCAAATCCACTTCCAGCCCAAAGGAATGGCATCCAAACATCCCAATCCCATCGGATCCTCTTCCACCCCAAAGGAATGGCATCCAAACATCCCAATCCCATTGGATCCACTTCCACCCCGAAGGAACAGCATCCAAACACCCCAATCCCATCGGATCTGATTTCACCCCAAAGGAACAGCATCCAAACATCCCAATCCCATCAGATCTGCTCTTCCACCCCAAAGGAATGGCATCCAAACATCCCAATCCCATCAAATCCACTTCCACCCCAAAGGAATGGCATCCAAACATCCCAATCCCATTGGATCTATGCTTCCACCCCAAAGGAATGGCATCCAAACATCCCGATCCCATCGGATCTACGCTTCCACTCCACGGATGAGAAGAAAATCTTCATTTTTTCAGAGGTAGCATCGTTTCTTCAGGAATTCTCCCCTGCCTCAGTTTCCCCCCACGCTCTGGAGAGCCCCTCCCATGGATCCTTCTCGCCTTCCTCATGGATCGGAGCCGCTCCAGCGGCCTCATCCCGCCCTAATTAAACAACCGTCAGGATTAAACAGCCATTAGGCCTCCCCGCTTGGAAAAACGAGCATTTCCAGCCGCCCGAAGCTCCATTTAAATGCAAATGTGGCGGGTTTAGCCCCGAACCGTGGAAATGAGGAGCATTCCCGTGGAAACAAGCAGCAATTCCAGCGGCGGGGCCACCACTGGCTCCGCTCAGTGCCACCCCGGGAGCGCTGGGACAGGAACGCCGGGCTGGGTGGGGCTGCATCCCAAACCCACCCCCCGAATTCGGGATGCGCTGGGAAGAATCCCCGGGAAAACAGATGGATCTCCTGGCGTGGATAGTTCGACCAGACGCTGGGACTTTCCGAACGCCAGCACAGACAGATGAGTGAGGGGATTTGGGAGTTTTCTCCCCATTTTGGGGCAGAGCTGCTGCCTGTTTTCATGAATTCCTGCCAAAACGAGGCGCACAAAGGGATTCCATCCCACCATCCCAAAATCCCACCCAAAGGGAATCATCCACGCTGTGCTGGACCCACCTTCCCCTCCCCATCCTCTCCCTGCAGGTAATCACAGAGGACCCCAATTTCCCCCCCTTTTTCCCCATTCCCGATCGCGTTGTTGAAGGCGCCGGCAGTGAATAATGCAGGAGGAGGCTGGAGGGGAAAGGAGCGGCTCAGGTTGTTCCATTATTGATGAGAGCTGACAGATCCGCTCCTGACAACCTTCCGAGGAGATCTGATTAGCTCGGAAAAAAACCACCAAAAACCACCGAAACCGCAGCGCCTTCGCGAGGGGCTGACGGCAGCTGAAAACCCCAAAGGAGCGGCGTTATCGACGTTCCCCAATTCCAGGGGACTTTCAAAAAAGGTTCGAGCAGATTGGGAAGAGGTAATTACGCTCAATTAGAGTCACAAGCGCCGAGACGTCAGCGCCGCTTCTCCCGCTCCCCTCGCACCGCAGGCCGGGGATAAACGGAGATTTATCCAGCGGAATCCATGGATTCTTTGGGATAGCAAGAACCGGGGGTGCTCCGGCCCTGCAGGAAAGTCAGCGGGAGCTTCGCTGGGCGCCTCCGCCGCCTCCCCCCTCATTGCCGGCTGGGTTCGCATGAATAATTCATCCTCCTCCTCCCCGGCTCTCGAGTGCCGGGATCTTTGTAGATCCAACCTCGGGATGAAAGCCCCGGCAGGAGCGGTGGAGGGCCCGGGAGGTCGCGGCTGCCAGACCCTTTCCCAATTAGCCGAGCCCTGGAACGCGTGCCCAGACTCCACACGCGGCCCTCCTCCCTCAGCTCCAGCACCGCCCGCCTTTCCAGGCAGGAGAAATTCTCCTTTTCCCAAGGTTTTGGCCAAACGGAGCCCCTCAGGGGTGGATTTGGGGCTCTGTCAGGATGGAGGAGAGGCTGGATGGTGCTGGTTTGGATGTATGACACCACCCACGCTCCAAAATCCAGCTTTTAAATGAAATATCTTAATTCTCCCAATCTCTCCTGTGTTGCATTTCCCCACACGAGAGGCAGCGCCCCAAATATTCCCCTAAATATCCTACATTAATCCTAAATAAAACATCCTAAATATCCTCCATTGGTGGATCCGTGTTCCCAGCAGGGACGAGCACAGGGATCCCTGAGTGCCAAACCAGCCCGGGGAGGGTCATTCCTGTGCTCCCTTTCCATCCTTTTCAGGGATATAAAAACATTTTTGTTGTTTAGGACAGGATCCTCCAGCTGGGTCAGGGGACCCAGCCCCATCCCCTCCACCATGGGAATTTCAGCCTTCTCGGGAATTTCAGCATCCCAGCCCGGGCAGGGGGACACCTCTGCACCAGGGATGCCAGGGATGGTGGAGAACCTGCCCGGAGGGCGTTCAGAGGCTCCTTTCTATCCCAAAAGCTCCGGAAGAGGCTGGTGGGATGACATTTGGGAAGCCGAGGACACCGGGAATGAATTCCTGAGCTCCCACCTCCCACTGGAGACCCCTGGCAAGGCCCCCTCGCTCCGCAGCCACCCACGGGCTGGGACCAGCACACCTCCCACATCCCCTGCGTTTCCCTGAGGAAAATCCCACCGGATTGGGATGGAGCCAGCAGGGAGTGAGTCCCTGAGTGAGAGCAGGAGCTTCCACCCACGCCCAGCTTGGCTCTTTCTTCCCTCGTTCTTTTCCGCCTCTCTCTGGTGCTCCCCTGGGTCCGATCCCTTTGAGTTCCTCTCCATTGACAGCGGTGGCAGCGATGCCATTCCCCAGGCTCCCGCCTTTCCCCCTCACCGTGCTCCTACTTTTGTCGTCTTGGGGACAAAAACTCCCCAGAATCTTCAGAATTCTGACCAGGAGCAGATCCACCACCAGCACCTTCCCCTGCCGTGCCTCAGTTTCCCCATGGTGACTCCAATCCCTGCAGCATCCCTCATAAATCCCATCCCTTCCCATCCCGAATTTCTCCCTGCTTCTATTTCTTTCTCACTCCTCTCCTGGTGCCCACAGCTGAACTCCAGCCCCGATTTCCTGCCCAAACTCCCGGATTTTTCTCCTTCCCGACGCCCCCAGCTCCTTTTGCACCAGCTCCTCCTCCTTCCACGGCGGCCTCCGAGAGACCCCCCAAGCTCCGGGGCTCTTTCCCGCCAGCCTTCGTTAGGCAGCGCGCGGCGAGCCAGGGCCGCTGAATTAATTAATCACTGAATTAATTAATCACAGAATCAGCTGCTGAATTCGTCACCCGGCCGTGCCGCGGAGCAGCTGCTCGGCATCAGCCGAAAGGGCTCCGGGCTGCTGCTCCCTCCCTTTTCCGGGAGCACCGAGGGATGAGGAGCCTTTGCTGGGCACAACAACTTTTTCTCTTTTTCCTCTTTTTTCGTTGCGTGACCCTTTTTAAAGCACCACAGAGGAGTAGCAGCTCCCCGGGGATGTTTTCCCTGCCTTTGTGCCCTTCCCCGCGCCTCTCTCTCCGTTTCCCAGGCCAACAGAGCCGGCCCCGGGCTGCACCTTTCCCTGGAGCCCAGCCCATCCCAAACATTCGCGGCTCCTCCGGAAGCCTCCTGCCAGCTCTGCCCGCTCAAAGTCACCTTGTCCCGGCCCGCCGCGCTCCGGCCTCTCCCGGCAAATCATTAATCGGCTCCTCGGCATTCCCGCATGGAAAAATGCCCCAGCGGGTGCCCCCGGCCTGGCACTCGGACATGCCGCTGCCCGGGAAGCTGCTCCTGTCGGCGGCCGCGCTGCTGCTCCTCTCCCTGGCCTTCAGGTTTTACAGGAACCGCTCGCCTCCCCCCGGGAAAATCCCACCGGGAGAGCAGCGGGAAAACCGGGATGGGGATGGGGATCTGAGGAGGAGGAGGAGGAAGGATGGGGGGGACAAGTGTGGGAATGGCCCCGGGAGGCAGCACGAGGGTCTCCGGGGGGAGCAGAGCTTTGCAAGGAATGAGGAGGAGGAGGAAGGAGAGGAGGTGAGTTCGGAGCTGATTCCCAGCAAAGCCCCGCTCAGTCCGGCCGGGATGGAAAGGGAGTTGGGAAGGGAACTGGGATGGAAGTTGGGAATTAAATTAGAAAGTGAAGCAGGGGTTGAGCTGGGGAGTGATCCTGGGAGCAGGACGGGAAGCGAACCGGGAAGTGAGCTGGGAAAAGAGCCGGGAAGTGAGCTGGGAAGTGAGCTGGGAAGTCAGCCAGGAAGCAAGTCGGGAAGCAGGCTGGGAATCAAGCCGGGAAACACTCCAGGAAGAAAGCCAGGAAGCAAATTGATAATGAAGCCAGTTAATGAGTTGGGAAGTGAGCAGACAAACGAGCTGGGAAACAAGCTGGGAAAGAAATTGGGAATTAAGTTAGGAATCGAGCTGGGAAATGAAGCGGGAAGCAAGCTGGAAAGTGAGGCAGGAATCGAGGTGGGAAGTGAACCAGAAAGCAAGCTGCGAAGTGAGCCGGGAAGCAGGGCAGAAATTTTCCTGGGAAGTGAGCCGGGAATTTTGCTGGGAAGCGATCTTGGAAGCAAGGCAGGAGTCGAGGTGGGGAGGGAGCCGGGAATGTCACTGGGGAGCGAGCTGGGCTCTCACGACCCCGGGGCCGTGGCCGCAGCCCGGGGCAGCCCGGCAGGGAGGGACGCAGCTGCTCCGAGCTCCGGGAGTTCCCCGGGGATTCCCGACGCCCGGACAGAGGGGGATGGATGCGCCCAGAGCGCGGAGCGGGATGCGGCTGGAGCACGGAGGAGCAGGGAGGGCAGCACGGGGTCAGTCCGGACCCTCAGCGTCACCTCCAGCCTGGGGCTGCTGCTGACGGCGAGCGAGGCTGGCTCGGACACCTCCTACTGCTTCTCCTCGGTGGCCAAGATCCAGGTGGAGGAGAACTTCATCCCGGAGAGCCGGGACAAGGACAGGGACAGCCCGCCCAGGCCTGGCCTGCGGGGCAAGGTCTACGACTACTTCGTGCAGTCCACCTCCGAGTCGGTGTCCAAGCGGACGTCCCTGCCCTTTGTCCCTGCGGGGACATCCCAGTGTCACAGGGAGAGGGACCAGGCAGAGCCGCAGAGCTCCGGAACCCAGGGGGAGAATCCAGCTTTGGAAATTCTTGATCCCGACACCACCTCAGCTCCACATGAGGGCACGGACAACCTTCCAGAACCACTTTCTCCCGGCTGGAAAAGCAGCACCCCCCAGCTCCCACTGCCTGGCGGGGCTCCAGCTGCGGGTCCTGAGCCATCCCAGGTGTCACTGCCCACTCAGGTGCACCTGGGGAACTGCTCCGAGGTTCTGCGCGCAGCCAAGGCTCAGCAGCTGCGGGCCCTGCAGGACGCCGCCCTCCAGGTGATGAGCACCAACCTCCTGCAGGTGCTGCGCTCCCCGAACATCTACCGCCGCCTCAACGCCGGCGAGCGGGAGCTGCTCCCGGCGCTCCGGAGCCATGGGCGGCCGCACCTGGTGGTGGCCGATGTCCCCCTGGCCGAACCCGGCCACCGCCGCGGCCGCCTCTGCTACTACGACGAGGACGGGGACCGCTGGTGCCAGCTGTGCCAACTGCCGGCCGGGGTGGCCGGGCGGGGCTGTGCCGTGTGCTCCATGTTCAATTACCTGTTCCTGGTGCCCGGCTGGGAGGGGACGGGCCGGGCGCGGAGCCCCTCGAGCCGCGTGCTCTGCTACGACCCTCTGAGCAACAGCTGGTGTGACATCTGTCCCCTGCGCCAGGCACGGCCGCACTGCCAGCTGGTGGCCCTGGATGGGCACCTCTACGCCATTGGGGGAGAGTGCTTGGCCACCGTGGAGCGCTACGACCCCCGGCGCGACCGCTGGGCCTTCGCCGCCGCTCTGCCCAGGGACACCTTCGCTGTGGCCCACGCGGCCACCGCATGTGACGGGGACATTTACGTCACCGGGGGCACCCTGCGCTCGCTGCTGCTGCGCTACGACGCCCGTGGGGACAGCTGGGCCACGAGCCCGGCTGTTGGTGACAAGGACAGGACGGCTGAGCTGGTGAGCGCCCACGGGTTCCTGTACCGCTTCCAGCTGCGGCGCGGAGCCGGTGGCACCGAGGTGGCCGTGTCGCGGTGCAGCGCCAGCGCCAGGCTGTGGTATCGCTGTGGCAGCCGCCCCCTGCCCGAGCTGGCCGGGCTGCGCTGTGCTGCTCTGGGAGGCCTCGTCCACTGCCTGGGCCGCGGTTTCCATCTCCGCTTCCTGGCCGACCCAGTCTCGCCGCGCTTCGGGGCCAAGGAGCTGCGGCCCTTCCCGGAGCCCCACGGGAGCCTCCTGCCCGCGGTGCTGGTGCTGCCCGAAGGGGGCACAGAGACACTGCGGCCCTGAGGGGTCCCCAAGGAGCGGTGGCAGCTGGAGAAGGAGCTCCCAGGCTGAGCTGTGCAATCCAAGCCTTCCATGGACCTGACTTCTTCCCATGCCCATGATGCAGGAAGGGATCAAACCCCTGGATCTGACCTCTTCCTGCTCCCTGGGATGGAGGAAGGGATCAGATCCTTGGATCCAACCTGTCCCCATTCTCTGGGATGAAGAAAGGGATCAGATCCTTGGATCTGGTCTCTTCCCACTGCCCAGGATGCAGACAGGGATCAAACCCTTGGATCCGGCCTCTTCCCACATCCCAGGCTGGAGGAAGGGATCATACCCTTGGATCTGACCTCTTCCCACTGCCCAGAATGCAGGAAGGAATCAGACCCTTGGATCCCACCTTTTAGCACTTCCTGGGATGGAGAAAGGGATCAAACCCTTGGATCCAGCCTCTTCCCACACCCCAGGCTGGAGGAAGGGATCAGACCCTTGGATCTGACTTCTTCCCACTCTCTGGGATGCAAGAAGGGATCAAACCCTTGGATCTGGCCTCTTCCTGCCCCCCAGGATGGAGAAAGGGATCAGATCCTTGGATCTGATCTCTTCCCACACCCCAGGCTGGAGGAAGGGATCAAACCCTCGGGCGCTGCCGGGAATCGCAGCCCGAAGGAGGCTCCGGGAAGAGCCGGGAGGAGCTGGGCAGGCTTGTTTGCTCAGGGGAGGTCAAACAGGGCCATGTTTGTTTGGGCGGCAGCAAATCCCGGATCTCCGTGGGCTCCAGCTGTCCGGGCACCCTTCAGGACCAATTCAGACCTGATTTAGACCTGACTTAGGCTCCAGGTGGGGAACATTGACCCCGGACACGGATGGGGAGTGGTTTAGGGTGGAGGTCGCTGAAGTTCTACCAGCATCTCTGGGATGCCTCGCTCACGCTGGGAAGAGTTCGGGGCTGGCCTCGTTATCTCTTATCTCGTTATTTCTCCCCTCCTCCTGAGAGCGCAGTTGTCTGTGTTTAATCTCTGTGTAAAGCAGCGCCGGGGGTTTAGGCACAGCTGGGCCTAAATTAAAGCGAACATTCGGTGAAATGAACGCCGTGCCTCGTTTTAAGCCGAGCCTAATTGGAGGCAAGAGCACGCTGCATGTTCGACATCGCTAATTAGGCACGGCCGGCAGCTCCGGGAGGCGAACAGGGAGCAGCGCTCCATAATCCCCTTTTCCCAGATTCTCCAGGAACAGAGCTCCATCATCCCCATTTCCCAGCTTTTCCAGGAGCAGATGCTTTCTCATTCCCATTTTCCCCCCAGCTTTTCCCGGCTCAGACACTCCCTTATCCCTTTTCCCCAGTTTTTCCCAGTTCAGACATTCCCCCATCCCCTTTTCCCAGTTTTTCCCAGCTCAAACGCTCCCTCATCCCCTTTTCCCAGTTTTTCTGGGAGCAGACACTCTCATCCCCCTTTCCCAGTTTTCCCCAGCTCAGACACTCCTTCATCCTCTTTTCCCAACTTTTCCCCCTGCAGACATTCCCTCATTCCCCTTTCCCAGCTCAGAACCCCTTCATCCCCTTTTCCCATCTTTTCCCAGCTCAGACACTCCCTCATCCCCTTTTCCCAGGTTTTCCAGGAGCAGATGCTCTCTCATTCCCATTTTCCCCCAGCTTTTCCCAGGTTTTCCCAGTTTTTCCCAGCTCAAACACTCCCTCATCCCCTTTCCAGCATTTCCCAGTTCAGACACTCCTTCATCCCCTTTTCGCAGCTTTTCTTGGCTCAAACGCTCCCTCATCCCCTTTTTCCAGTTTTTCCCAGCTCAAACACTCCCTCTTCCTCTTTTCCCAGTTTTTCTGGGAGCAGACACTCTCATCCCCTTTTTCCAGGTTTTTCCCAGCTCAAACACTCCCTCTTCCTCTTTTCCCAGTTTTTCTCGGAGCAGACGCTCTCATCCCCCTTTCCCAGTTTTTCCCAGCTCAGACACTCCCTCTTCCCCTTTTTCCCAGGTTTTCCAGGAGCAGATGCTCTCTCATTCCCATTTTTCCCCCAGCTTTTCCCAGGTTTTCCCAGTTTTTCCCAGCTCAGACACTCCCTCATCCCCCTTTCCCCAGCTTTCCCAGGAAATCGCAGCTTATCCCACAGTTCCAGAGGGGCTGGGGGAAAGGAGCTTAAATCCCCCCTAATTCCACCTCCCACTACCACAGGCTGCCCCAGCCTGGTCTGGGACACTTCCAAGAATGTGAATTCCAGGTTTTCCTGGGAATTTTGCGGCGGTTTAGGAGAGCCTGGATTAATGTTCTCTCCCAAAATGCTCCCGGAAGGATTCCTGGCACTGCCTGGAGCCTCCGGACAGAGGGCAGGGAACTTGGGAGGCTGCGTTAATTAATGAGCCCGGGACCGCGGTAATTAATTAACCCGGGGCTGCGTTAATGAACAAACCTGCCCAGGCTGTTCCTGCTGGTGGGGAAGGGGTGAGGGACCCCTCCCTGTCATGGGAAATGCAGGAATATGTTGCGAGTATGAGGATTTTTTGGGATTTATGGAATTTCCCAGCTGAAACATCCCAAAAAAGAGATTCTGGGGTATGGGAGGTGACAATTCCAGTGGCGGGATGATCCCTCTGGAATGGCCCCGGGGCAGGGGGGGAAGGACTGGAATGAGGGAGAGGGAAAATAAAGGGAAAAAGACAAATCCAAACCCATGCTCAGACCTGGAGGTTTCACCCCCTGCTCCCAAATCCTAAAGGTTTTGTCCTTTCCCTGCTCCCAAATCCTGAAAATCTGGTTCCTTCTCTCCCAAATCCCAAAGGTTTGGTTCATTCTCTCCCAAATCCTGAAGGTTTGGTCCTTTCCTCACTCCCAAATCCCAAAGGTTTTGTTCATTCCATGCTCCCAGATCCCAAAGGTTTGGTTTGTTCTCCGCTCCTGAATCCTGAACGTTTGGTCCTTTCCCTGCTCCCAAATCCCCAAGGTTTGGTTCCTTTTCTCCCAAATCCCAAAGGTTTTGTTCATTCTCTCCCAAATCCCAGAGGTTTGGTCCATTCCATCCCAAATCCAGAAGGTTTGGTTGGTTCCCAGCTCCCAAATCCCAAAGATTTGG